AACTTACGACCATAAAAAGCACTCTTCATCGATGGGTGAATATAATTTCTATTTTACAGCTATCTTACAGCTGTTGCTCTCTATGTACGTAATATAGTGTTGTTCATTATTATCTCTATATTTTAGACATGTGTACATGGTTATGGCCATGGTAATTATAAATGTAAGATATTGATAGTTCATGGCATAGCACATTAATTTGTTTTTCTTTAGAATCACATTATATCGTCGACAAATAATCGTCGAGACATAACCACGGTAATACTATCATAAGTATTACCGTGACATAACCGTCGAAAAACACGCTGTAATTAAGAAATATAATAATCTACTTCTTGAAATTACGATATTTATTTATTTATTTGTAATAGGTGTATGTATGTATACAAACAGTTTACAGTCTAGGCTAGATCGTTATGAAATTTGTGAATTTCTTCAAAATGAGTAGTTATCTTTTTCATAACAGAGCTCTACGCTCAGCGCTCTACTTTAGATTACTATTTTGAATTACAAGTAGTATTTTTATACTTAGTTTATTGTATTCTTGTAAAATGTCTAAATCACTACTAGACCAATTATAAAACTTCTGAAAAAAAAACTTTTGCTATTGATTACAATTTACATAATAAGGTTTTTGATATTACCTAAAACCTATTGCGAAGAAGGTTTACGGTTGCTGCACAAAAGGTTCTTGCTCTACCATAGGTACCACTTATATCGACATAACTTCTCAATGGTGGTCGTTGAGCATTGTCTCTCTCGGAAATGGGATCGTGGCTTATGTAAACGAAGTCATTGACTTAAGATGCACTACTCTTCCCACTTAATATCGGTAATAGATACATAGATAAACACTTTATTGTACACCATACAGAACAAGTAAAAGAAAATAGAGACGGCGCTATACACAGATCAAAGAATAAATTAAGAAACGGCACAATTTACGCGATCTTAGCGCTATAAGCGATCTCTACTAGACAAACCAGTGGACAATTTAATAAGGACTTTATGATAAATTATAAAAATACTTGGATATTCTTGCATACCACTACTTGTCCTTAACCACAGCCCAAACGAAGCAAAGCTTATACTCGTACTATGCGAACCCGACAACGATATAAACTTACTATATATGGCTTATTAACATACACTGTATAACTGCTTTAGTTAAATCAAATTAATTAAATGATACGATTGATCTAGTTTAAAATAATCGGATCTAATTTATTACGCAATGTATTTTAAATTCTGTTTCCTGTAATAAATGCTGACCAATATGACTGAATTTCTTCCGCCACTTCTTCTCTGCATTATACAACAATGCAACATTAGGATAGTCACGGAATAATATAATTTTAATTAGCTCTAAAATACTTTGAGACCCCTCAGGAAATCGAATCTGCACTCCTTATATCATAAATGATTCAATTTATGTGCTAATCCTAACTGCTATGGACTAACCATACATGAGGAACATGAATACACGATAGACTTGCGTAGTCCATCAACTTGTACTTTCACTGAACTCATAAATACACACCTAACTTGGCTTGATGAGGTCATTTATATTCTGTCACTTTAGATCATTTTACGACTCATAATAATAACATTATATTTATGACGTTATGTAACAATTGTTCAGAGAAATAGTATGATGTGAAATAGTGTTAATTGCGTTTAGACTTTTATGGAATCGGAAGCAAAGTTCTCATTATAACTTTACAATTTTTAGTAATACTAATTGCTTATCATTAATTTAATTTTGTGTCATTTATGTATTTATAATGGACTTTCATTAAATCAATATGTAAGTTTATTATAGTTCTTTTACCTCTAGGTACCGCACTAACAAGCTAGCTTAGTTGATGACAAAAAAGCTTTTAGGATTAAAGGGCATACTACGAGTAAATAAGCCTAATAATTAATTTGAATTTAAAACGGTTGAGATAACCGTAACACAATTTATTTCTAAGACTCTACGTGGAAAAAATAGTAGAATACACACAAAAATTGTGGAAACTAGCACACGATGTGTTTGTTGAAGCATGTGTAAAGAATGCGACGGCCGTTACATATTTATTAACGTTTATCACCGTGTGATGGACGGACCAGACCGTATCGATTCAGAAATTCGCGAATTCTTCAACAATAATGCGATTTTAATGAAGAAATTTAAATGGAAAATAACCAATTACAATTGCATTAAGATCTATCTTATATGTGAGGAAAGACAAGGGTTTTGGAGCTTTTTCAATTCATTTCGACTTCGATAGTGTTAATTAGTTCATTTACCTAAATTATGAGTTCAATCACTCAAGATTTACACTTGAGAATCTACAATCACAGGCTTGAGTTCATTCTCAAGTTTGAAACGAATTTTGAGCTTCGTCCAAGACTCTACAATACCGGCTTGAGTCTGTGCTAGCGTTTGAATTGAGTTTTCTAACATAACAGTGGTAAATTATTTGTGAAACAAATCGTAAGTCATCGCACGCTGACCGGCGCAATCGAAACGTTTACGTGTGGTTTACGTTACGGTAGAAAACGTACGTGACTCGCGCGACGCGTACGCACCGCGCACGCGCATAGAAAGTGACGCCATCGGAGCCTTTCTACGCTTTTCCACGGTTAAAGTGTCCAGTGGGAAATGTAATTATTTATTGGACATGTTACACGACGGTTTTGTAACATTACATTTTAAATTAGGTGTGTAGGTACACTTTCAAAAGTTAATTAATAGCCCTTACTGTTCGTATTACATTATGACGTCATGATTCTAACATGAAAACGTAAAAGTAAAGTGTCACACCTAATTTATTAGATCACACCTTACCAGGATGCCAGATGAGATTGCGAGTTAAGTCCCGCATAGGACTGACTGAGCACTGAGCACAATAAATTATTTTGAAAGAAAGAACGAAACAATATTTATTTGGTATCAAAGATATTATTTTTTTCTTCTTCTTTTGTTAATGGCGATGAAAAATTACAGAGAATATTTCGGTAACATAACGAATAAATATACAAGGCTACCACATAACTTATCGGCTTGCTATTTACGTGAACGCAAGCGAAAATAGCTTTTATTTTTTCATCATTATTTTCTTCTGATTTTCAAAATAGTTATCCGGCTTCTGCGTTCATGCAACGTATTATTATAACATCGAAATCGCTTAACAAAGTGTTTCCATTGGTTATTGGCACTATTAGCAAAGCGTGGGAACTCTATCACTCGGTCAGTCGGTTCTGCTCTACATATTGTCAACTCTACCGTAGAAGGAAAAGCCCTTTCATGACTTTTTCTGTTTTTGTAGAGCGATAAATAGGTTAATTGAAGTATTGTCAATCTATGTTGGTAATTAGTCGCTGCTCTTAAAATCTGAGTGTTTCTTATGACAATATGGATAATGAGACACCTTCTTCTACTTGTCGTGTCGAGAACAAACCTACACAGTGTCAGCCCAAAACTCAACTACAAGAGTTAATGAATGAGACACTGATAAAGGCGGATTTCTTAGTGAAGAATTAAACATAAGAAATTGGCAATACCTCAATAACATTTTGTTAGAGAAAATAATTGATTTCAATGTCAAATTGCTGGTCTGGTGAAGGTTTATAACGCCACAGTGGGTTGTAATAATATGTAGAGGCAAGTTAGTTAATATGTAGAGACGAACATTTCATATCCGAACTAATGGATATGTTATTACCGAGTATGTTATATGTACCATCGGCAACAGTGTTAACTATCCATTGCCTGTCATGTCGTCTCGTTCTATTGCAAAGAATCACCATTTGATGAGAGCGAGAGCAAAAACGGAAATGGATAGTTAACAGTGTGGCTGTGTGTACATTAATGTTTACCCGTTATCTTAAACAACTACCTTACAAGTTCTGCAAAGTTTGGGGCTAGGTAAATTGGTGATAGTTGTTGGAAATCCATCATTTCATCAGTAAAAAAACGTGTTTTCATTGCTTTCCCAAAAGACGTCAGTAATAACAGATAATTTGGTCATTGTGACTTGCGAAAAAACTTTTGTATGTCCAAGTACTGTCGGCAAAGAAAGTGTGACAGGCCGTAATAGCTGTTATTAATTTAAAATTTGATGACAACCGATTCACCAGAACTAAAGAGGACAATTTCTAAGCTTGTAACAAGGTAACCACTTTAGCTTCCGCTTGTACATCAAAGTCCTATGACTTGCTAAATGACCTGTTATTATGGTGCTTAAAAAATCACGCTTTTCTATACGTGTTGTACTCACCTGCTGGCATAATTCATATCGAACAAAAACCTTAGAGTTCTTCCTTAATTGATCATTATATTCACATGAACGTGTATTGAAAAACCCGAACATAACGTAATGTTATTTTTTGCGTCAAGTTCTCATAAAGCGAAGCCAATCAACCCTGAAGTAACCCAATTATAATGAAAAAACTAGACAATACATGTTCCCTTGTTATGTTCCGTTACATACAGTTCAACCCGTCTGGCTAGATAGCGTCAGGAATAGGCATATAATTATCGATTTGCTTCTGATAAATTGGAGAGACGTCGACCAATAACAGATGACTAGTAAATGTCGCAGGAAGGCGCTGGATGCAGGCCGCTACCAATCCGCCGATGTGAAATCATTAGGGGAGGCCTATGTTCAGCAGTAGACATCCTGTGGTCGATTTAATGGTGATGATGAAGAAATTGAAGAAGGTCCTGTTCCTGCAATGGGGTCTAAATGACCTGATGATGATAAATTCATCATCATCATCATCATTTCAGCCATAGGACGTCCATTGCTGAACATAGGCCTCCCTCAATGATTTCCATGTTGATATATTGGTAGCGGCCTGCGTCCAGCGCTTCCCTGCTACCTTTATGATGTAGTTGGTCCACCTTGTTGGTGGACGTCCCACGCTGCGTTTTTCGGTACGCGGCATCCACTCCAGAACCTTACTGCCCCAGCCGTCATGATAATGACTTACAGTTGTTTTATTTATTCCAGGGGCACGGCTATGGCTGGCGGCTGCAGGGCTGCAGCTTCTCCTGCTGACTGCGACCGGAGCCAGGCACCACCGGCGCTCGATGCCTACCCAAGCAGTAAGCTTCCTCAATATAACCACCATATTTTAAACTTTATGTGGACGGAATAAGCTTTAAAAGGAATTAAAGGTGGACGCTCAAGTACCTATACCTCCTGTTTGATATAACCAGACAATCAAATATTTAAAAATCGCTTTTGAAAATATGAGGTCGTCAACATAAGTAATTCTTTTCAGACATTACCAGTATCGAAAGGTGGCTGGAGGCCGGTCGTTGGCTCTGGGGGCCTAGTCTACGGGTCTTACGGCACCGCCTCGCTGCACGCTCCAACGTACAAATACCCTCTGCCAGTTCTGGATCTGTACCAGTCGTCATCACGTCCACTCGCCACGAGAGACTCGGCAAAACTGACGTCAATAGCGCAGTCTTACCGCCCGACTACCCTCAGAACAGTGCAGGCCGCGCAGCCCGCGCCACCCGCGAATCAACCTATCAACTCCTACCACAACCCCTTCGTGTTCACCAACAACGGAGTCTCGTACAAATACATCCAGAACTACCCACTCGACAGCGTCGTCATCAGAAACCCCCAGAACCCATACGCTGCGAGACCAGTATTCAAATACTCGAATAACAAAATCAAGCAGCAGCCGCTGCAAAACACTGTGCTGCAGCAGTTGAATAACGTACAGCCAATCCAATTTGGTCAGTACCAGACTAGTAAGCCATTGGATGTGTTTAAGAAACCGGTCGAAGGTTACGCCAGACCGACTGAAAATAAACCTAACCAGTCAGGCACGGAAATATATAAGCCTGAAGTGTACAAGCTTCAGGACAGCGAACCCGCGCCGCAGCAGGTCAGTCAGCAAGTAAAGACGGCGCAACAACAACAAGCCTTGATTGGAACACAGAAACCACCCCATAACCCGTATCCACACTACACGTACCAAGATCCTGTTTACCCCCCGAACATTCTAGGTAAGAGCAAATAATAAAATGAGACTATGCCTACGAGTATTGTTAAGGATTGTCGTATTGTTATTCAATTACATTTTTATGTTTTCAGGGTCATTTGGCGCGTTTGGCTTGCAACCAGTGAAAGGATCTTACCCAACCAAGACCACATATTTGCCCCCGCAGCCGAATAAACAAACCATATTCAACTCATTCAACTACTCACCCTCTTTTAAGACCACACCGACCATCTTTACCTCGACTACTCCCAAGTTACAAACCACTGTCAATCATATACCATTCGCACCCACTGTCATTGATTACAAGAGCACGTCCACAACACCACCAAAACTCAGTCAACTTACCCCAGCAAAAATTGATCCCAATGCTGGAAACAAAGGCTCTTTCAAAGCCAGTCCTCAGGACCCATTCATCAAACACTACCAAAGCGACTATAACAAAATAGCCGTGACCACTTACAACCCTGTCCAGACTACAACGCCAGCGAGCAACCAGTTTAGCTTCGATTACAACTACCAGTTACAGCAAAATAATCAAGCTCAAACCTTCTACGATCCACAGACTCAGAACTACAACTACCAAAAGAAGAAACAGAAGATTCACGACAGCGTCGCTGCCGGAGTCAATCAAGCTACTCATCAATATGCTTCACCACCCAAATCTGTACCTAGTTACGAAGTCATTGAAACAACAGAATCTGACGACATAGTTACACACTCAGCGCCTCAAGTTTGGAATCAGCAACCGTACGACAGTAATCCGAAGACGACAGAAGAGACGGTGACCAAGCAACTGCACCCCGACGTAGGGTTCAGCAAATACACAACGACTCCCGTTGCCGATCTACCCGAAGAATACGCCATTGTGACCGAAGCCGAGAAAGGCTATGAAAACTCTTTGGGCTACGACAGCGAAGTCGAATCCCAAAGCAGGCGGCCTCTAGGCGACGACTTCGAACCGATCGGCAAGCACAAGCTCAAGGATTACTACTATAAGGTATCAACTCCTACGTATGAACATTACAGCACCTCGAAACGAACGAAAAAGCCCACAGAATCTTCCAGACTTACAGATGCACCTGAAGTAACTACGTATAATATAATCAAAGAGACTGTTGATGACAACACCGAGGCTTTACCAACACTGCCGCCTTACAAACATTTCAAGAGACCCTCGACCACAGATACACCCATTGACAAGGAAAAAATTCGTAAGCGGAATAAGAACCGAAGACGCCGCCCTCCACTAGCAAATATTAACCATAACAAAGAATCTGGTACCAGTACCACACGAAAGTATGTACAGTCTACCACAGAACTACCCCAAACTACTGAGTCCGATGAAGTTCACACTATCAGGCCAAGAATTAGGCCCGCTAAGCTAAAGCAACAACCTAACTTGACCACTCCCAGTGTCACAACTGATTCCACAACCAGCGCGGTGCCCACAATCTCACCAACAGCTCCTACGATTATAAAAAAGAAGCTTGTCCGACGCCCTTTAACTACAGTGACTGACAGGATTGAAACTACCACGCAGGCTTACAAAGATTATGACAATAGCAAAGATTCGTCGATCATGAAAATTGCGAACCGACCACAATATCCGAAGATAGGGTCTACTGAAGAAATTCCAGACTTCAGCCATAAACAGGACGAGAAGGACACTCCAACTAGTGACGTAGACGTCAGCTTAGAATCGATAAAATCAAGCGCAGACGCAGCAAAATCATTTGCTTTCCACAAAGATGTTAAACCTATTGAAGCGAAATTGGAAACCACAACAGAATCATTCAGGGTAACAAACGAAGTAACAGAATCGACATCGACCAGTAGATCAGAGACAACATCAGGAAATATAGCTAAAATACAAAGGCCAAGACTGAAAAATAAGTTCAACCGTACAAGATTCAGTGTTAAAGATTATAGAAACCGATTGAGTTCCACGACCAGCACCACAGAAAGGTCGACTGAGTCAACTCCTAAACTTAGATTCCTTCACAGGAAAGCTACAACTGATTTCAACACTGAAAGTGAAACGACGACGGAAAGGAAGAAATTCATGCCCAAAGACCCACGACACAAAGTAGCGAATGGTTCAGAACTAAATGAAGAAATCGAAAAGGAGATACATTCGATAAGACATCCTTCCAGACAAAGGCAAACGACAACAACCACCGAGAACGCTGAATCCACCACTCAAAAAATATCATCGAGAATCAGAAATGGAGTGCGTAGGCCAAAACCTACGGAAGAAACAACGGAGACGACAAGTCCGACCACAGTTCACAGCAAAAGACCACAGAGGAAGAAGATAACTGATTCTGAGTTAGGAGAATCCGTTCAGGACATATCAGTGACCGACAGCACAGTTATCTTCGACCACAAGAACGACATAACTTCAGAAAGGACTCGATCTGAGAGTGCGATTATGAAGATAGCTGACAAGAAGCATCATGACCACCACATAGAGCATCTGTTCGAGCACTCCAAACGGGTTTCTGACTTGACCCTTGCTGCTAGCAAGGACTACAACACTCCTGGTATGTTCAAAACTGTGTCTTCGAATAGCAGGAGAATACCAAACTATTTCACCATCGCCACCGATGATCCCATCCTGCCCATTGAGGCGTTCTTCCCTCAGCTGAACCAAAAGAAGGAATCGTAACGTTCCTTTTTAGTTAAGTTTGCAAAACCAAATCCTTTTTGACTGCCAAAGTAATTAAACTTCCCTAAGTTATTGTGCTAACTGGCTGTATTATATTTTAATGTATTTATGTATTTCTATAGATGATATTTTTTGTATTATTACAAAAACTTTTTGAATCTGGCTATGAAAACAAAATTCGGTACAGTGAGCAGGTCAGCCATCACAAAATTGTTAATTTTCTCAAATATTTTGAACTTTACATTTTTAATGTAGGGATCGAAATCAATAACGAAAGTTATTTTGTGGTAAGTTGAAATGCTTGCATAATAATGAAAAAGATATTTGTGAATATTGAACAGTGTCACAATTTTCATAAATATTATAAATCTGGGCTAAAAGTATGCAGGATTCAATCTTTTACAAGACTGGCATTTATATTTGTCACCATTATTATGAAATTAAATTAAAGAATGAGCTTTATTGCAGTAAAATGGTTTAAATTGTAGTAAGAATAAATGAAGTGTAGTAACTTATTAAGTACGCTTTTTCTAAGACTTAAAGAATGTTATTTTCCTTACAGTAGTTATTTTCTATCGAAAACTATGTAGTTTATTTATTTAACAAGATTAATTTTTAAGTAGGTACTTACACTGTCCATTTTTTTTAGAATAGGGCTTATTACTGCAATCTTATCCCGTCAGAGTGCAGCACTAGCAAAATTAGTTTTTAACAATAAGTGTCATTCAAAAGGTTATTATATTAAATTACATTACAATTTGATTTTAAAATACAGAAAATACTTAAATACAAAATGCATCAGTGCAACGTTTAAATTTGATTCGATTTTCCATTATTATTATCTATTTGTTGGAAATAAATACAACTTGACGCATCAAGACGGTTTGTGCTAGTGGCGCCCTCTGCGTAGTTTTGCGTAATATTCCCTATTGCTATGGCTCTCTTTACATAATATTTCTAAGAGTTGTTACTATTGTTATTAGTTTATAAGATAATCGTGTATTTGTGATGTATGATTGGCCAAGTAACGCGGTTATAACCGCAACAATTGAACTATATAATGTGCGGCTGCTTTTGTGTGTGTAGCGATAGCGAGTGAACGGGACTAATAAAACCTTAGTTGTTAACTGTGTAAATAAACGACTTTCATAACAATTTATGTGCTTTATTTATGAAAAAACAAACGCTTAGGAATATACTGAACTGGGACATATTTCACTGAAATTGTTGCCACTGGTCTGTAAATATGAAATACACTTTAGAAAATCTTTTGATTGATGGTTATTTTAATAGTGGAATAAACATGTAAAGCAAAATAAATAAATTGGTGTATATTAACCGGCATTGGCCTCCTCTGCTTGTATCTTGCTTATCTTCTGGATGCATTTCATGGCGGCGTGGTGGATAGTCTTGTCCAGTGCATCTGTCAAACAAACATTAAAAAATAAAATAAAACGGATTCAGGTATTTATATTGTCTAGTACATAAAATTCAAGATTAGTTTACTTTGTGACTAAATGGCGCTGATTTCAAGAATATTACAACACTTTTACTTACATATTTTGTGCTGTCCTTTGATCGGGAACCGGAGCCGCAAGCTGACGGGATTCGAACAAATGAACACGTACGGACTGTCACTCTCCCCATCTGGGTACCTGGGGAAATAACAAATTACAAGAACTACAAGTAATTAAGGTTTAATATTGCTATTTTATAAGACGAACGTCACCTCAGATGGGAATCAAACTAATGGCCTTGGTCTAACTGAGCTACGGAGTTATAAGTTCCATAATATTTTAAACTAATATGTTGGTTTTTTTACTATATTTTTTTTTATTTTACAGTACAAAATAAAATTTTTATAACGGTAAATAAGATATTTACCCTCCCGACGCCGTTTCAACTCGGTATATTGTGCAAATGCGGGTGGGTGAAGAAAATTCATCGCGCCGGAGCAGACTACGCCGCATCTCTTCAGTCTGCCCGCGACCATGACTGGTGCAACCGAGTTGAAACGTCGGGTGGGTAAATATTTTATTTACCGCTATAAAAGTTTTGTTGTAAAATCCCGTGAAGTGATAATTTTTTAGGTTTCATTCTATTTACATAATACCAGACATCCAAACTTTCGCATTTATAATATTAGTAGGATGTGTATTTTACGCCGTAGACCAGCGGCATATTTTTTTGACTTCGACACATGTCTCTGACGTCTGTCTCTCCATTATGGGTAAGTAGGTAACAGGTGCTCACTTCTTCTGGTAGTCCTCCTGCGGCAGGCAGTCGTCGACGGTGACGCAGCCCAGCAGGCAGCCCGTCGGGTAGAAAGACGGGAACTTCAGCTGCTTCTCTGGAGTGCAATATTTAACGTTATACAGGGTGTTAGGTAAATGGGTATATGAGCCGACACTAGCCCATGTTAACATGGTCATGGTATGGTGAAGTCAGAAAATTGATATCTTCATTTTAATTATTTTATTTTTCATACAAATCGGATTTTATAAAATTTATTTTGTATGAAAATTAAAATAATTAAAATGAAGATATCAATTTTCTGACTTCACCATACCATTTATATGACCATGTTAACATGGGCTAGTGTCGGCTCATATACCCATTTACCTAACACCCTGTATACGTACGAGCAAAAGTATGGAATCACCCTCTTGTATTTTGTTCCCAACGATCTGAATAACTCAATGACTATCTATGCATCTATGGTATCAGGTTAAAGTTTGTAATGTAACCTTTAAACTGGTACCATTTTTAATTTAATCTTCATAGTCGTTTAGCTACAAAGATTACTCAAAACGAATGGGGTGATTCCATACCTTTGCTCGCAAGTGTAGTTCTTTCAACTCACGAAGGCGAGTCAGCTTTACTTGTGTGTGTACGTTTACACATAACGATAGTGTAATGTCTATCAACACTTTTGAAAAACGAAGAGTAGCGAGCCACCACACATGTAAAGCTCACTCGCCTTCGTAAATTACAACAACTATACTCATTATTTAAAAAAAAAACTATTTTCTACTATTATATCACAATAATATAGACTGAAAAGATAAATTGTCTTATCCAATATTTCAAAAATAATATCCCTTTTTTTCTGTCAAGAAAAAAACTCGTCAGAAGAGCAGGGCCTACCCACTAAAATCCGACGATGCCCTCCTCCAATTAAGGACAATAATTCGCGGCTAGGTTGTCAATAAAATGAAGCCGCGAGTTATTGTCTAAAATTGGACATTCGTTTGTGGCTCCTTCCCAGGCTATGTTCTCTGCTATGCTCGCTCTCGAGCAAGCCTCTTCAACTTCGAGGGGAATGGTGAATCCCTTAGGTAAAATATACTCTTTGCCCTTTATTACCTGGATACAGCACACGGTATTGGTTCTCCAGGGCCCGTATTGTGTCTTGATCGGGCGGCTTAGCGGTGGACGCGATCCACAGTCGCCCACGGTGACTGCTATACCACGTGCGGCCTTCGTGCCTGCAACACAATGAGCACTTCTTGAAGACTGTCAGTTAGCTTGATTCAATGTCGTGGATTAGTCTTATTGTTAGAAAAGACTATTTGACACCATTCCTCAATAATTGTAGAGTGGGGCGTTGTCGCTGTCTGAGCGGTTATTTTTGAAACCTTTTAAACTCTCAACATAATTCAATGCATAATCTCTAAAAATTGGATTCAAATTGAATTTTAAAATTAAAAGTTAGATACTAATTGCTCTTAAGATAGGTCCCCTAGCTTTCCGCCCGCGACTTCGTCCGCGTAGAATTTTGTCTGTCATAGAAGAAAAACTTTATCGCGCGCTCCTATGTCCTTTCCCGGGACTCAAACTATCTCTATGCCAAATTTCATCAAAATCGGTTCAATGGTTTAGGCGTGTAAGCAAGACAGACAGACAGAGTTACTTTCGCATTTATAATATTAGTATAGAGTATAGATTTATTGGCCGTGGTGCATAACTTTTCTTAAAAATAGCCTTTGTTTGTCACCTGTCATCCGCTTTGCAATGGAGGGAAGTCGAACCTTAATTTCGAACTCCTCCTATGTTATTTTGATTAATTTCGTTGCGGGTCCAATGACAGTTTAACTTTCCCCCGGGACAAACTTGACCTTCATTGGTTGGGTTTTTATTGGCGGTCAAGCTGCAGATCATGGCTACGCAGGAGTTGCAGTGGTGGGAACGAGAGGTGGGAATAGCGCGTTAAAAAAATATAATATGAACCATTTAGTTCGTGAAAGTTTCCGCTGGGGCGCTGTACAATCCGTCATACATTTAATGACTCTTTTTTACGCAGTCGACATCGAATGCGTTTGATGTAAACCAACACTACGCCCTCTGAACTCTTCACATCTAGGTATTTTGCTTCTTGCCTTTCATACTCACATCTTGATCCCGTCCACGAGCAGCGAGGCCCAGGGCTGGTGCATGGAGAGGCACCGTGTCGCTCATTTCCTGAAACTCTGGTTCCTGGACTCTCGTTGCTTGGGACAGAGATGGCGCCTTCAGTACTGCCGCGTACCTTTGCCCTTCGCCTAGTAAAGACAGACACATCTTTTTTGTTTCTTGGCTTTCATACTCACATCTTGATCCCGTCTACGAGCAGCGAGGCCCACGGCTGGTGCATGGAGAGGCAGCGGCCCGTGTCACTCATCTCTTGAAGCTCTGGATCCTGAACTCTTGGAGCTTCGGACAGAGATGGCGCTTTCAGTACTGCCGCGTACATTTGCCCTTCGCCTTATAAAGACAGACACATCTTTTTTGTTTCTTGGCTTCCATACTCACATCTTGATCCCGTCCACGAGCAGCGAGACCCAGGGCTGGTGCATGGAGAGGCAGCAGCCCGTGTCGCTTATCACTTGAAGCTCAGGATCCTGAACTCTTGGAGCTTGGGACAGAGACGGCGCCTTCAGTACTGCCGCGTACATTTGCCCTTCGCCTTGTAAAGACAGACACATCTTTTTTGTTTCTTAACTTTCATACTCACATCTGACCAGGACAATCTGGCCAGGTGGGGATTCTTGGATGGCCTGAGCATGGAGTGCAGGTGCGGTTTTGTTCTCCAGTCGATGAAGCACCTGATGTCATGCCCTGAGTGCCCAAGCAACTGCACTCAGGAGGATTTGATTAGAGCTACTGACAACGCCACTCTAGTGGCGGAGTTTTGGGCTGACACTGTGTAGGTTTGTTGTCGACGCAAAAAGAAGAAGATACTCACATCTTGATCCCGTCCACGAGCAGCGAAGCCCAGGGCTGGTGCATGGAGAGGCAGCGGCCCGTGTCGCTCATCTCTTGAAGCTCTGGATCCTGAACTCTTGGAGCTTGGGACAGAGACGGCGCTTTCATCACCGCCGCCGCGTAACCTTGCCCTTCGACGGCTGAATCAAACTGTAAGACAAATCACATAGGAGTGGAATGAAGACATATAGACGACATTCATTGGTTGGGTTATTATGGCGGTCAAGCTGTAGATCCTGGCTACACAGGAGTTGCAGTGGTGGGAACGAGAGGTGGGAATAGTCCCGTTATATGGACGACCGCACTACTTCTATTCCGAGAAATTAGGATAAATGCAGCAAAATATTGCTGTTTGACATCAACGGAGTTTGTTAGTTTTGTTACGCAACGCTGTTGTCTTTTAATATTTTTTGTAGAACATTAGGATTTGAAAACTTAATCGAATTATGTTGGAAAACAAACACCTTTTTGTCTTCACATTGACCAGAGTGGTAATTAATCCCGGGACCACAGAGCTGGTGACACCTTAAAAGCTGTTGTGTTCGTCGGAAGTCGAAAAAAAAATAACAACTTAATTTTAGCGGTAGGTACAATTTTAAGTTTATGCTCTTCTATTTTAAAAGGCTGCCGTCCCCTAAAGGAGGCATGTTTACTCTACTGTACCTGCAAGAGACTAGCGTTGACCCCCGGCGCGATGTCCCTGCCACCATCTGTACCCAGCAGCGCGTGGTTAATGAACCCGGGAGGCACTGTGGTCCCACTACCGCCGCTCATCTCGCGGATCTTATCCTCGTCTACGTCATAGTCTATGGTGTTGTCTTAAAGAAGGAGTATTGTGCCAAAGATTGCAGGTTCGATCTTCACAACATACAGACATGGCGCTGGAGATAATTATTTACTTAAAGACAAAAGATAAGTATGTGTTCGGGACTAATCCCACTTCTCACCTCTCTTTCCCACCTTTGCAACTCCTATGAGTTGTGTAAATGTGAGGTAGGTATGTAGCCCATACAGTTACCATTCTTTCCCCAATCCCTTACCTTCCCTGGAATGACACACGTACCTGCAGCAGACTAGCGTTGACCCCCGGCGCGACGTCCCTACCGCCATCTGTACCCAACAGCGCGTGGTTGATGAACCCGGGAGGCGCTGTGGCCCCGCTGCCGCCGCTCATCTCGCGGATCTTGTTCTCGTCTACCTTAGGCCTTGTTCAGACATGCGTGATAACCGTGCGATTTCTGAGCGGTTTTCATTGAGGCACTGAGGGCTTAGTGTGATTTTACATCAAACGGCGTCACTAGCGAGCGCGTTAAAAAAATATATGAAGATTTTAGTTCTTGAAAGATTCCGCTAGGGGCGCTGTACAATCCATCATACATTTAATGTCACTTTTTTATGCAGTCGACATCGAATGCGTTTGACGTAAACTCACACTACGCCCCCTGAGGCGGTAACCGTGCGGGTACAGTTTGATGCAAGTGTACGAAAACTTCCCGGCAACCACGCGTTTATCGCTATGACTGAATGAGGCCTTAAGTGGTGAAAAAAGGAATAGTGGGCACAAAGGGAGTGTTTGCCCTACCTTCAGCAGAGCAAGCTGTAGATCCTGGCTACACAGGAGTTCAGCGGTGGGAACGAGAGGTGGGAATAGTCCCGTACCTGCAGCAGACTAGCGTTGACCCCCGGCGCGACGTCCCTGCCGCCACCTGTACCCAACAGCGCGTGGTTGATGAACCCGGGAGGCGCTGTGGCCCCGCTGCCGCCGCTCATCTCGCGGATCTTATCCTCGTCTACGTCATAGTCTATGGTGTTGTCTTAAAGAAGGAGTATTGTGCCAAAGATTGCAGGTTCGATCTTCGAAAAATACAGACATGGTGATAATTATTTCCTTAAGGACAAAAGATAAATATGTGTTCGGGACTAATCCCACTTTTCACCTCTCTTTCCCACCGCTGCAACTCCTATGAGTTGTGTAAATGTGAGGTAGGTATGTAGCCCATACAGTTACCATTCCTTTCCTTTCCTAGAATGACACACGTACCTGCAGCAGACTAGCGTTGACCCCCGGCGCGACGTCCCTGCCACCATCTGTACCCAGCAGCGCGTGGTTGATGAACCCGGGAGGAGCTGTGGTTCCGCTGCCGCCGCTCATCTCCCGGATCTTATCCTCGTCTACGTCATAGTCTATGGTGTTGTCTTCCACCACTTGACGACCTGGACAAATAAATTTAGTTAAACAAAATTTAGTTATTTAGTTATTTTTCCACGATGGAGAAGCTCTTGGCAAAATAAATATAATTCATCTAGGATTTACGAAGGACCAATTGCAAGAGGTCAAATATATTTTGGTTTTTCAGTTTCTTTTTATTTATATTGTCAATTTTTTTTCAAGATTTGGAGTTTAGCCAGTGAATGCATGAATGAATAACGCCCGTATTCGCAAACATTACTATGAGATCTCACCGTGCGTGTGGACGCACAGGGTGACACATGAACCAATCACAGAGCTCTATTCAACGCTCTTCTGCTTCACATAAGCAAGCATCGTTTGTAAATACGGGCGTGAGAGGCTTTTACTTTTAGATTAATCGAAATCAAAGGTGACTGACTGGCTGATGATATTTATAGTGATCTATCAACGCAGAATTGCAGATTGTGTGAATTTTAATGTCTAATTTTCCTATACAATGTATTTTGTTTTTGGAATAAATAAATTGAAATTGAAACGCACAGCCTAAACAAAAATATATTATAAAATAAAATATAAACAAAATATAATAAACCACTGGACGGATCGGGCTGAAATTTAGCATGCAAGTAGATGTTATGACGTAGGCATCCGCTAAGAAAGGATTTTACAAAACTCCACCCTAAGGGGGTAAAACGGGATCCACGCGTACATAGTTGCGGGCGGCCGCTAGTTAGTGTATAAGACCCTTTTAATAAACAATGAAAGAGTATTACAAAGAACATTCGTTTTTCTAGGCTAGTACAAAATTTAAATGAGACTTACCAGCGAAGTCAAAGGTCATCTTCTTAGCCAGACGCGAGGCGTGTTTCTTCTCGTGGAGAGACTCCTGGTACTTCTCAAGTTTCTCCTTCTCAGCAGCGTTGAGCCACACGCTGTTCGCGCTGAAATAGTCGCTATCGTCGTGTGTAACGTGCGTGCGGCGCTCGCTGGAGAAAGAAAGAGACAATGTTATGAGACAATAATCTATATATGTCGCAGTCGGATTGTATAATCCGCCGTTTTACATTACCACTAGGCATTTTACATTACATCTCTGTTTTGTAATACGGCGGTTCAACGTTTAGGCGGATTGTAATTGCGATACGTTCTTCAATACGGCGGCCCACGTTTAGCCGCATCGTACTACTATAGATTGTAGGGTGACCATTAGGGTGGTCCTTATTCCTACGAAAAAAATTTTTTTTTCTTGTATTTTGCGGGGCATCACGTAATTTGAATATACAGGATGTAAGGTAAATGGGTATATGAGCCGACACTAGCCCATATTAACATGGTCATATAAATGGTATGGTGAAGTCAGAAAATTGATATCTTCATTTTAATTATTTTATTTTTCATACAAATCGGATTTTATAAAATTAATTAAGTTAGGTTATTTTTCTTTAAGATAAAATTATCTTCACCGGCCATAGCCATGATTTCATATTTTTACACTAATAATATTGTGTAGGATTCCGCCGAACATCAGAATCCATAGCCACTTTGTCCGGCAGCGCCACGGTATTAAAAATAGGAACTAAAAACTGTCTAAGCGGCGGGTAATGACACGCTGTTTTACATTACGGCTAGCCGTATTGAAGAACGTTTGACGCCGAATACATTCCGGCGAATTTTCATTCAGCCGTATTCAATCCGGCTAAACGTTAATCCGGCGTATTACAAAACAGAGCTGTAATGAAAAATGCCTAGCTGTAATGTAAAACGGCGGATTATACAATCTGACTGCGACATATACAGTGTGTCCGGGCTTGTAGTGATCAAACTTTAAGGGCAAAATCTAGGGACAATTTTATCGATAAAAATACTTCAAATTTGGGGCCTGACCCATTTCTCGAAAAATTACATCGATTTAAGTTTTTAATTTTTAGTTTACACCTCTTCTTTAAAAAAACAAGTGAAAGCGAGGGTAGTTTAACATTAATAGGCAAATATTTTATATCGTGCGATAGCCAATAAAATTATCGATTAGTAGAAGAAAAAACAGACACAAATTTCATACATTTTATGGGAGTAAGAATGGATTGAATTAGAAAAATAAATTACTTTTTTCACTTCTTTTTCAGTTATTTTCCAACACAAGAAAAACCAGGTCGTTAAGGTATGTTTTATTTGCATTGTATTTTTAGTATTTGAGCTATTCTACAAAACGAATGTAAATTTATTAGTCTACGTCTATTAGTTTCGACGTAATTGTTGAACAAAGATACCCCTTCCCAGCGGTTTCCATAGTAATCGGAATAGGTTGTGTGATTCTTTCAGGCAGTGCATTTTCGCATGTCGCGTGCGCTATGGAAACCGCTGGGAAGGGGTATCTTTGTTCAACAATTACGTCGAAACTAATAGACGTAGACTAATAAATTTACATTCGTTTTGTAGAATAGCTCAAATACTAAAAATACAATGCAAATAAAACATACCTTAACGACCTGGTTTTTCTTGTGTTGGAAAATAACTGAAAAAGAAGTGAAAAAGTAATGTATTTTTCTAATTCAATCCATTCTTACTCCCATAAAATGTATGAAATTTGTGTCTGGTTTCTTCTTCTACTAATAGATAATTTTATTGGCTATCGCATGATATAAAATATTTGCCTATTAATGTTAAGCTACCCACGCTTTCACTTGTTTTTTAAAGAAGAGATGTAAACTAAAAATTAAAAACTTAAATCGATGTAATTTTTCGAGAAATGGGTCAAGCCCCAAATTTGAAGTATTTTCATCGATAAAATTGTTCATAGATTACGCCTTTAAAGTTTGATCACTACATGCCCGGACACACTGTATAAGCGAAAGGTGACACTGACTGGCTGGCTGACCCACTCATCACGAAATCTCAGAAACTACAAGTGCTAGGAGTCTCAAATTTTGCATGGGAGTTCCTTTTAGAACGTAGGCGCTAAGACGGATTTTGCAAAATTCAGCCCCTAAGGAGGTAAAACTTGATCCACGCGTACGAAGTCCCGGGCGGTCGCTAGTTTTAATATTAGGCTTTTAACAAAAAATATTCCAGTTTTCTCGTAACTCGTTCAGGTAAAAGGTTGGTTGATTCTTTAGTTTTACCAGTGCAGCACACATTACTTTCCTAGGGTACACACACTGCTCTGCTCGGGTACATACACGTTTTTCTCATAGGGTACACATTTTTCTCCTAGGGTCCACACTGCTTGTGACTCTTTATCAGTTTAACCAGTTCTGGAGCACACATTGCTCTCCTAGGGTACACACACAACCCTGCTTAGGTACACGTTATTCTCATAGGGTACACATTGTTATCCTAGGGTACACATTATTCTAGGGTACACACTATTTTCGCAGGGTCCACACTGCTTATATGAGGGTACACACACTACTCTGCTTGGGTACACGATTTTCTCATAGGGTTCACACTGTTTTTCTAGGGTCCACACATTTGGGGGACCTTCATTGGTTGGGTTTTTATTGGCGGTCAAGCTGTAGATCTTGACTATACAAGATTTGCAGCGGTGGGAACGAGAGGTGGGAAATGGAAATATTCCCGTTACCTGGTCCGGTCGTACTCTAGCAGTCGGTCTCTATGGCTGAGCGCAGCCTGCCAGCCCTGCGGCCTCGCGCGTTCCATTAAGCTCTCCTTCAGCTTAGCGCTGGCTTTGGTCTTCAAATTCAGTTCTTTCTGCTCTTCTGGGGTACAGACCTGCAATATAATGACGCAATTTTATTGATTGAGAAATAAATAAATGATCATTTATTTGCATTTGAAAAAGGGTACATTTAAGATTGTTACAGTATCATTAAGTTTAGCTTTTTCAGCCATTATAAATAAATAAATAGTACTGTTTGTATTTGCAAAATCATTCCTTCTGAATCTTTATGGGGCCGAGGAAAAATGATATTACCTCCTTCAAATACCTATTAGAAAATCCTCAAACCAATTATCAAGTAGATACAGATGTGATTAGTTTATGAAAGACAAACTGAAGGTACCTACCAAGTTGCCACAAAATAGACAGGGCCCTGAGCCCTCCTGTTTGCATACAACGCGGCCGCATTGTAGACAGTTGTTGATGAGCTCATGCTTTGATGCCTGGCAGTCACAGTGGTTTCGACCTGCAATTAGGCACATAGAATTCTTATATTAAAAAGAAGCAGCAAAGTATTTACCTTTTTTCCACTTTGAATATACTATACACTAGTAGGCTTCTGAAAGATCTATGTTTTTCAAGCAGTGTATTTACAAGTTGTATGGTATGTGGTTGCAGTCCCGTGACTGAAATATTTAATGGAAAGATGTCAAAAGGAGAATCTATGTTTTTCAAGCAGTGTATTTACAAGTTGTATGGTATGTGGTTGCAGTCCCGTGACTGAAATATTTAATGGAAAGATGTCAAAAGGAGAATCTATGTTACTTAAAACTATTTAACAACAAAAAATACATCATAGCTACCATATTTAACTACGCTTAGGCTGAGTTGCACCATCTTACTTTAACTTTGACAAACGTAAAAAAATCTGTAAACTCCATACAAAGAGCACCGTTATTGTTATTGTTGCAGATAAAATAATGTGATGCAACTCAGCCTTAGTGTTAATTCAACGCCTACCTTTTAACAAAACAACCTGAGCATTTTTCCCCTCCTGGGAGTAAAGGTTGACAAACTTGGTTTTTTTCTTGGACTTGGCTTCAGGCTCGGTCTCAGGAGGTGGTGCTTCCACCGACACAAAGTCTTGTGTTTTTTGCTGCTTATTCTTTGATATTTTCTTTTTTTGCGGTCTTTGAATGGAATTTGCTAAAATGTAACAAATATTTATTGATAGGATTATATTGAGAAACTCATGGAAAGACAGATAACATAAAAGACACCAACAAATTAAGAATCCTTTCATTAAGAAATAGTGAAAGGTCTAAGGAAGTAACATCCAACAGAGAACAAACATTATGATGAAATAAAAAATATTTAGCAGATAGGTATACAATTTCAGATAGCACAGTAAAATAAAGATTAATCCTTCAAGGCCCGCGAATCTACACACAATAGTTATGGCGTTAATGTATGCCGTCTGGGACGTTAAAGGTTAATATAATATGAGTTTAAGTACTAATAATGATTACATTTGTTGTGCAATATGGTGTTGCATTATAGTAGATTATTTTCAATTAATGAGATTTTCTAACAAGACTGTAATTATTACTGACTAGTATTATTTACTGTACACTTAATTAAGACTATTTATATTCCTTAAACTTACCTCTGGATGGGAATTTTCTTTTGACTAATTCAGACACAAAATTCTTGTGTTGTGGATTTTCGAAATCAAGAAGTGTCTTCAAATACTCGTTTAAATCACCCTCGTTTTCAATTGATAAAACATAGCTGAAAAAGAATAAAATTAAATCATTAGTTTTATTGAAGTTCTATGTACTACTGCTGGTATGCTATTATAGGTGAAAATTTATAATAAAACCTTATTAAATCTTCAGGAACTTGGAAGCCTAAGATTCTGGATAAACCTTCTGTTAACCATTGCTCCATTGTAGTGCATGCAGACTTGTAATTATTTAATTAAAATTTGAAAAACTTTTTCAACAAGTTCTACTAAGAATCCACGCGTAAATGTGTCAAATGTCAATGTCAAAGTCAGTCGATCAATTACAGCTGATTTTGACATTCGTTAAAGCTTGAGAACAAAACGCTTTTACCAACAAAAATTAAAATCAAGACTTTGACCACGCTATTTATTCAAAAAACATGATATGTATTTATTTTAATGATAATTAAAGATATTATTTCTTGTACTAATGATTAACTTATTTAGGTATTTTGATTCATATTAATTTGTTGTTGTCGACCCATGTTGTCCTAGTATCGAACAAAACGAAAATGTCAAAAATTTTGACATTTCCAAATTAAAAAAAAAACTAAAAATTGTGGAGGAAATTATTTTCAATTTTGGAATCTTTTGATTGTGGTAAGATTTCTTTAAATGTGATTTATACGTATTCTATTAGCGTTCATTTGTTTCTATTATCTCTGCAGAAAACAAATCGTCAATGGCCAGTGTTTAATTTTGTTTACGTAATTATAACCTCTTTGGTTTTAGGGATAAACAATGTCGATCTCTCCGTTCCTCCGCAATCCAGTGTCGGACCTGACTGGTGGTCTGATCTCGCACCAGATGCTGGGAAGGTGCCAGAAAGAGGAGGCTCGCTACATGGAGTGCTTGGAGGTCTACGGGCTGGACCGCGGCCACAAAAAATGCGCTGAACTATTCGACGACTTCGCTGAATGCCAGCAAATGACCAAACAATTCAAAAGATTTATTGTGAGTTTGTGTTTCTATTATTACAGTATTTGAAATCTTAGAAATATAATTTACCAACAAAATAATTTTGTTATTGTTAGCTAATATAGAAATTCATTGTTGTAAATAATACAATATTTCAGATATTTCATAATGATCTTGTACTTAATTAGAATCAAAATGGGAGGCTTTTACAACAGTTGTCTCTAAATACTTCTTCATTGTTAAAATACACAGAGAACAGAATAAAAGCTAAATTCAAAATCTCATTTTCTTTAAAACTTTCAATCAAAATTATATTTAATTTATTCTAACATTTTCAGGCTATGAGGACTGAACGCGACAGGCAAATTGCTGCAGGAAAACTAAAGGGAGATGAGAAGTACCTATCTCCAAAGATCGACAGCTTCTGAATAAATGTAGATCATGAATATTAGATTGTTTAAATATTTAAGTCAATAAATTTTGGGTTATCACACAATACTAGTTTTTAGTGTCTAAAATTCTAAATTATATCTTAAGCATCTAGATAACATTTTCAGGCACTTGTACTGTCTGGTTTAACTATTGTAAGAATTTTTATTTGTAATTTGTATCTTTTTTTTTAACTTAGTAGGTACAAATTAACTTGTACTTGTCGGCGCCGGACACAGATGCTGCAAATTATTATTGATGATTAATAGTACCAATCTTAATATTATGTTATCTGTATAAATCTGTAGAGCGGGAGGTTTGTGATTCCTAAACGTAACACCCTACTGATGCGCAGAAAAAGGTAACTGTCAATCAGTTGTGTCATGTCAAGTGTGAGCAAGCGGCTACGAGGTTATCTTTGAAAGCGTATTGAGTTTGGTGGAACGTTAAATTGTAAGGAAAGTGATTGTCAACCATCTAACATATTATCTCCTTGCCCGCTAACCCACGCCAATGGAGATTCCACCCCTAGAGTTCCTGAGACCCCGTGCCTTTATACTTATACCTTGTCAATTTTTATTTCCATAGACACCCTGTATAAAACGCGACTCTTCATGTGAACTTGAACTTATAAAAAAGTTTGCACTTTTATGTCAATTTACTATGTCAGATTTTCTCTTTGGTTCTTATATTTGTTATGACTTACGTCATCAAATAATAAAACCAGCTTTTTTAAAATACGCATTACAATTTGTGGAAAAGGCATGTATAAAATAAATAGTATCTCGCCATTCCTGCGCTCCCCCATGACGGATATAACCGGGGGGGTTACATCTCATCAGCTCCTGGGGCGGTGTGCCAAGCAAGAAATGGAAATGATGGACTGCCTTGAAGCGTACGGGATGGACCGGGGCGTCAAGAAGTGCTCAGAACTGATTGACGATTTTTCTGAATGCCACAATTTGAATAAACAGTTCAAGAGGTTTGTGGTAAGAGAATACTACTTCTATAATCACATTTTTATGACTGATATTTTATTCTATAGGCGATAATAGCTACAACCCGAACGAGTTAACTGCGCACCTCGCTGGAATGTGACGTCATGGCTGCCAGGTGCGCAGGTTTGTATGTAGTCCTTTCCACTCAAGCTCTAGGGAAAAAATCCCATGGGTTCTTTTCTTGTCTCCTAGGTCTGAAGAAGTGGTGTCCAATTTAAAAAAGTTCATATGTATCGTTGCCCCTGTTCGCAATTCGTATATCTGAGACTTTGCCGTACTGACATTTCAGGCACTTTGATCAGACAAAACTGGTGTACGCCAACAAGTGAAGCTAATAATTGAATAATGTTCATACAGTAGATTTGATTAACCAAATCTAAAATGAACTAAAAGATACAGCAGGCACGCTGAAAAACACTAGAAAAACGCGTTCTGACAAGTACTTTCGGGCTTCCAGAACTTCCAGAACCCAAAACAACAGTTTTTGTAACCAGAAAGAAACGATATAAAAAATGCTATTTTTTTTATTTATTTACAAGCTTATGCAGGGTGGAATTTTTTAATGCCACCTGGAGGGAAAGTACTCTTAATACTGCAGATATAAAATTTTACTGAAAGAAAACATTCCTTTATTTTTGAAAAGATTTCCTTTTATTTGATTTATCAAGTTTGTTAGACAGATTTCATCCTTATACTTGACCCTAACGATCGATGAAATAAAAATACAGGTTGTAATTTTTAACAGATTTTAGTTGGTTCGATTCCCGGGTGTGGCAAATATTTTTTGGAAACGTTTATTCCCGATATCCCCCACTATTTGTCCACCACTGGTGGACATCGAGAAAAAAAGTTGCATTGTCCACCAGTGCAGTGGGGGACAGCGCTACTGAAATCTTCCCGTTGGGCCCTATGTGGGATAAATCTTGCAACTGAATGTCCTCAATCGATTGAGCTGCAATTTGGTATACTTATGTAAGTACGATGAAAATGCAATGTTGTGGTACCCATTGAGTCTATTGATGGATTCAGGAGGCGGCCATAGGAACTCCTAAATGAAACGGCGGAATCGCATCGAATTTGGGTTTGTTGGATTTGTCTTTTCGAGCACATTGGTGCTAAATTGTATTGTAATTGAACCAAGGCTCTGAGATTGAGATACTATAGATAGAGCTGGTGAACGCCAGACCAACGTCATTTTATAAAAGCTGAAAGTTTGTCAGCGTATGCTCCCAATATAGGTTAGTAGAATGTTGGCGGATTATGAAGTTTGGGTCATCGTGGCTTTGGCAGCTATCCTAAAAAAACTGTCTGGCAAGGAGTTGGAACTGTCAAAACTGTCTGGCTAAAAAGTGGAAAAAATTCCATGCGCGATACAAGTTTTCTAAATTATTTGAACCTTGCATACAATAATTTTTTCGTTTTATTAAAATTGTTAACGGATTAACGATTAACGTTAACTTGCGTTAAATCTTGCTAAATGTAACGTTTTAACGTTTAACGAAGTTATTTTTTTTATTAACGGTTTAACGATTAACGAAGTTAACTATTTGATTAACGGTGCCCAGCTATGATAATAGCTACAACCCGAACGAGTTAACTGCGCACCTCGCTGGAATGTGACGTCACGACTGCCAGGTGCGCAGGTTTGTATGTAGGTAGTCCTTTCCACTCAAGCTCTAGGGAAAAAATCCCATGGGTTCTTTTCTTGTCTTCTAGGTCTGAAGAAGTGGTGTCCAATTTAAAAAAGTTCATATGTATCGTTGCCCCTGTTCGCAATTCGTATATCTGAGACTTTGCCGTACTGAAATTTCAGGCACTTTGATCAGACAAAACTGGTGTACGCCAACAAGTGAAGCTAATAATTGAATAATGTTCATACAGTAGATTTGATTAACCAAATCTAAAATGAACCACTTAATTATTTCCATTTATTACTTAGGTATTGCTTGCTGCCTAAAATGCAGAGTAAGTTACCTTACGGTAGAGTTTATTTAGGGAAGGAACTTTCCTACTTCATCTAACCCTCTTTGTAGGAACTAAAGCTATATTTTAAATAATTGGTTAATCCAAAAGCTTCTGTATCATTTCAGGCGATACGCAGTGAACGTAACAGACAAATCGCTGCTGGGAAGCTGACAGGCGATAACAAGTATGTAACGCCCAAAATTGATAGCTTCTGACGATTTAGTCCATAACAAACTTCTAATATATGATAAAACCTTATTACGAACTCTATCATTTCCTATAAATCTACTACATCTACTCATAACTATTTCAGGTAGTCTTTTTTAAGTAAGATAAGTAAGTAGTAAGTAATACTCTAAAATCGTATTTTAACATTGCTCCGTTCTACTGTGGTTCTACTTATAACCAGAATGACTGGCTCATAAATAACTATTTGTATAAAACCTTCGATCAACATCATTACATTATATTTGTTGCAAACAATATCGACTAAGCTATGTGGCGCGTCGAATAACTCGAGTTTTTTATCCACCGAGTCATGGACGGTCGGCTGTTTTTTGCTCGGAATTTTGGCGCCAAACTATTCATTTACATTTACAATCAATCATGTAATCTGCCACACGATCTCTAAAGAATTTGTGTAATTAAGTACGTATTATTATTTGCCTGCGTAGTTTTGATATGACTGACTGAAAACGTGACACGATTTACGACGCACACTGCTAAGTTTGTTTATCCTTCGAGTTTCGTTTTATTTATGAGAGGCTTAAATAGGTGAAAATAGACAACGGAAATGGTCAGAACTATATGTAGATTATTACAGCTTCTGACACGATTACATATTCCAGAATACGAATAATAATGAGGTGTGCCGCACAGTCGATCAGAAACATGGACAAAGTTATCCAGTAAACGCTGAACAGCAGGCTACTACTGCCTAAGGGGCTCCACTACCGAGAGAGAATGGATGTTAAAATGAAAATGTCATTTTCTGTAATGTTGAAATGAAATTGAATAGGTAGAGCCCCGTGTTTCTCTATTTCTATAATTCAAACAGAACGCGAAAGTTTAAAAAAATTGGGACATGGTAAAGGGACTCTAGCTAAGGGTCACTAGGCCTTACAAAATTGTTTTGGCCCTGAAAATCTGCTAGTCATGCAGATAAAATAAAGTTCCCGCCTGTATCTCGAATTTATTTTATCAGTTAGCAGTCATAGAAACGAAATAACGCGCTTTGTGAGCGCTTTTGTGCTCAAAGTGCGTTTACATTCTACGAGTCTACTTATTGCAATTATTTAAGAGTTTCACAGCTTGATAGGTATAATCACATTCCTCAGACATCCATCAAGGTGGAACCGACCCCTTCGCGAAAATGTCGAAGTGTCTCGCAAAAAACTGAGGATCACATTCCCACGGAGGCAGGTAGCTGGTCTGGCCGGACAATCACCAGATCCTTGTTTTCAATTATATATTGCAAAATATATATTAATAACGCCACCAGTCTCATAAAGTTCGATGACCCGATGTGACGAAACACCTCCGAAGGTTGTGTACGACATGCCAAGGTAAACTTCGATCGGTGCCCTCAGATTAGAGCAAAAAAAACACAAAAAATCGCACATTACGGAACTACGCAAAGGTCCTCGACCTTAATGAGATTTTTGAACCAATAATGGTGCTAACGCTTTTTTATCCAGGGTAGGTCGGCGCGGGCGCTCAAGGAAGGTGGGCTTAAAGGACGAAGACCTCCATCTGGCGATTCAAATGATCGAATTCAAAAGAATTTGCATTAGGCCGAACATTTAAGAACGAATTTGTTTCTTCTTAGCTGCTGGTGTGATACCAGTTTTAGCGTTAAACTTGTAAGAGATGTAGAGGTAATTAATAATGTTATTGCTGCAATGCTAATTAGTAAGTATAGGATATGTATAAAGATAGAGACACACCAGTACAGTGACTTATTTGAAAATTAAAATTAGACCAATCTTTTCTAGGCTAAAATTTGAACCAACCTTTGAACATCGACTCTACATTTTGCAGTAGGTTTATATTCAACTGGACCAGGTAGTTTTCCGCGTCCATCTGTTTATACCTTCTGTTAAATTTTATTCTGTTAATTTTCCCTAAACCATGTAGGTATTGCGATCCGATTGTCACCATCGTTTAGACAATTTTTCATCTTTTCTAAATTAGGTACACCCGTGCGGAGCACAGTTTCTAATTTTCATTGCCTACTTTACTACCTAAGTTTTTCAGTTGAAAATCACTTTTGTACGTCAAACTTAACGTGGCATCTTCTTTAGTTGGCCTGACCAGGAACATAAAAACCCTCGCCATGTTGCGGAAAACTAATGGTACTAATTTCTTTTAATGGCAACAGTAACTGAAAACTTCATTGACATGTCACCTTGCATGTCAGTCTATTGCTGTCAAAGTGTAAACAAAGTTTATTTTAAATGTGCGCAATTGGTTTTATGAATTAAATTGCTAAAATATTTTTATAGTCGTGAAAGAAAAGTGGTTCACAATGTGTTAAAGTATTTGTCGAAGAGAAATACTAAGGGTTTGGACAATATTTTCATTGAATAATGTTTCCGACAAAGGTTGTCAAATTGACTGACATGTTTATCGTATAGTACAGTCCACTATGAAAATTAGCTGTGGTTTGTTTCAACTACCTATTTTAAAATTTTTTGTCACTTTCTAAGTGTTGAATTTTATGGGATTGGGAAAGAAGTACCGAGTTTGAAGCGTTCGTGAGCAGACATTGCAGTTGAATATTCAAGTTCTGAATTTGATTATTGATGAATAATAAAATAAATTCTACTAGCTCGATTGATGGTTTCATTTAATTTATTTAATTCAGGTTACCTATAATAATATTTTTTCGTTAATTTAAGAAAATATCAAATTAGCCCGTAATCCTGAATCCTGATACATAAAGTTAGCCTATTAAGTTAACACAGGTACGACTGTACTCAGTGTTGCACTATCAAATGCAATTGACGCGCCACTATGCCAGGGTTTTTATGTTCCTGGTCAGGCTATAACAGATGATATTTAACAGCAAAAATAAATAGTCTGCTGTGCTGGCCTCTGTTAATTAAATAAGTTATTAATAGGCTGAAAACGTAATTAGACCTACTATAGCCAAGTATCACTACCGGAAGTTGTAAACCACGTGTTTAGTTTATAATTAATGATGGATTCAAATTGCCTTGGGCTATTATCGCCTCCTTTTATTCGTAAATGATTAATGAGTACTATTTCATATCGAGTGAGTACTTAATCTGAAATTAGAGTGGGTTTTATAATAATTGTGATCGCCATCGTCAGATCAATAACCTGCAACGTTTATTTAGGTATTTAAGTAATAATTTTGCCAAAATTTAACCTTGTTATTATGTTATGTTAATGTGTTTGAACAAGGTAGTATGTTATGCTTTAGATTATTCCAATAATAAAAGAAATAGTTGCGAGAGACACGATTTACTTTTTATACCTTCAAACTGAATTACCTTCTTATTATTATTTTTGCGATAAATAAAAAATAATGCTTCCAAACTAACACGTGATAGATGTTGGATCAATGCAAGAAGTGTTCCTTTCGGAAGGTAGAGCTACCATTGATCTGTTGATCTTAGTGCATTTCAGCGCTCGGTAATAGATCAAAACAACATCCTGGCTAGCCTCTAGAATCTCTGAAGACTCTATTTTTGCATGCAGGAATTCTCCTGATGAAAAGTGATGATTTGGCCAAAGTGGAACCACCAACTAAACCAAGCAGAAAAATTTTGCCCCAACCGCGAATCGAACCCAGGACCTCTGGATCTGAAGCAGGTGGTCTTACCCACTAGACTACAGAACAGAGGCGGTTATAATCAACGTTCTACGACCTAATCTACTTACTAAGTTAATTGGTATAAAAAATCTAAATGTCGGATTTTTTTCTCAATTCGCCCGGACACATGTAGGTTACCGAGTGTGGTCTAGGTAGCGGCTCAAAGGCCAGACGGAACGAAATTTCAGCGTTCCTCGGGGATATAACTGATTGATCAATTTGATCATGCATGCGCCGACGCAAGCCATTTGCTGCTCGGTAGAGCGGCGTGTAGAGCGACTACTTTAACACGACCGCCTTGGTTGTCTGCTACTACTTTTAGCTTTCCGATTACTCAATTAAAACCTGGACTATAAAATTAAGATTATTACTGTCATCAGTAGCTACAGCTTCATAACGTTGATAAAATCAGTCATCCGTAGAATATAAGGGTATTTCTTCGGAGGCAAAATTTTCGATGTCTTTGGGTATAGTTCTGTAACCAACTAACAAAATGGCATGCAATATTTTTTTTCGTATAGCTTAGCTATAGCCCTATCTGGCGCAAATAACATTTTTGACATAATTGCTGTCTTTATACAAAATAAAAATATTTGAAGTGTGATTCTCTGATTCATATGGTGTGTCCGTTAGCCATTTTCCGGAACAAAATGGTTGATGTAGCATTTTCCTTTTGATATATCAATATAAATTAAAATTATTTCGAAAGCTAATGAGTTGTCCTTCTACAAAAAAAATGTGTCATAATTTTAATTAAGTTAGTTTGTTCGCAAAAAAATAAATAAGCAGTGTCCGGCATAAAATACTGATTCATATGGCGTGAGCTGTTCTTGACCATAACTGGTCAGGTTTTAATCATGAGAGTCTGGTTTCTGGCGTGGAGGCAAGCCCATCTTGCAACGGATGAGCTAGAAGGCAGACGTGGAGCTGGTTGGCTTAGAACCCGGTGTGACGAAGGCAAATACTTGATTCATCTGTGCTTGGTTCAGGTGGCATGCTGATTACAATGCCTACTTTATAAAATTACATTATTGCATTAAAAATCTAATCTGTCTTTCTTGTGATGCTTTTGGGTTATATAATCATGTAGAAAAATGACAACACTGTAGTCTGTATGTATGACGAGTTTTGCTCGATTTTAGGCAAAAAACTGATTTATCTGTGCGTGATTCATATGGTCAGGGCCCTATATGAATCATAAAATAAATTAGTTTTTGGTCTTTCAAGCACCAAAAAAGGGTTTTTTAACTAAGAATGACATCCCAGACTGCATCTCACTTAAGACCAGGTGCGATTGCGGTCTTGTTATGAAAAAAAAAACATTATCATTTTCATGTTAAGAATAATTTGTGTTTAAACAGTAAATAAGTAGTATATCCGTTAAGCTAGCAACCATAACACAAGCATATTTG